GAACTGTCCGTCATGTAATTTAATTAAACTGTACTTTCTCTCTTTTTTTGAGTGCAGAATCATTTTATCTGACAAGACTTTTTCTGTATGAATGTGAGCAGTTTATGGAAGTTGAGAACAGACTCCGCCATCACCGTATGAGGCTCAGTCTCAGCTGCCTGCTGTGTGTGTGTCTGTTAGATAAACACACAAACAGCGAGCGCTTGGAATTCCATTGGAATAAGACCACTGACAGTTAAGAGTGAATGTACCAGGAGAGGAATGTCCCAGGAAGCTCCAGCTGTCCCCTTTGACACGATATAAACAGGCTGCAGCTACCATTTTAGGAATATTTGAAGAAAGAATCTCTTTTATACACATAGAGAGGCAAAGTCCCTCCTCATCCAGAGTCTCCTATGGGACCTTATTTTGGGAAAAATATGTACCTTAGTCTAGTGGTTCCCAGTTGGTGGGTCCCCATCCAAAAGTGATCCATTCTGACTGGCCCGCAAGTGACTCGTGAATGTGTCATGTTTGTAAAAAAAAAAAACACACTTCATTTTGAAGTACAGTGAATATCCTGCACAGAGCTTTTATTTTGAAGTGCCATTTCCTGCTGTAGAGTGAGTGACTAACAGACAGCTACTTGACAGAGACGGCAAATTAGCTCAAATCAGCTTCACCATTTGTCTTTACACCTGTAAAAGGGAACAGTTGCTTCAAACCTCAGACAGAAGTCATAAAGGACCTCTCACATGTGGTTGCACACTTTAATTTAAAACAAAATTTTAGGAACACGTGAATTTCAGTGAGATAAATAAAAAGCTCTATTGAGTAATGATTTCTCCTTTTTAAAATGCAGCACAACACGTTGTACAACGGTGCCCTCAGGTCACCATTACAGCCTCCACAAGTGTAAACAAACTATTTTCTACTTCATTAACAGTGGATTTGTTGTTACTCTCCTCCAAGTTCACATTATGAATATGAACTGTTGTAACTCAAGCATCAAATGAGGTGATATGTACACAGCATAGACCTTGTGTAGGTGGGTATGCAGGAATGTCGGTATGCATTCCCATGTTGCCTGCACCCAAAACATAATTCACTTAATTACTGTCGATTTCAAAAAGATGAACAGAAATTAAAGTCCATGGGTTATATTTAGGCAGGGACTCAATATTCCCAAAACAGGCATGTTTTTATGGGGCTCTACGTGAAATTCAGAGCGTATGAGTTGCCTGAATACGGTTCTCAACATTGAGTTGGTTGGCAGCTAGCAGCTAACAGTGCCAACTGAATAAACAGCGCTAAACAATTGCAACAGTGCTAACAGAGCAACACTACCACGATGCAATCATCCCAGTAACAGCTGTATAAACGCCGTACAAAGTGGCTACAATAAGGTAGACAGTGGGAAACACATGCACTAACATGCGCATGCAGGCGGACCGGCCTACCACAGCAAACCACAGAGAAGCTCGCATTACAACACCTCTTCATTCTCTGCTCAGGACGCCATTACTCCACTTTATCTTTACATAGCAAGCAGTTGTTTGCTGCTTTATTAATGCTCTGAATGTCACATATAGGACCTTTAAAATTAGATCAGGTGTGATCTTGTGATACTGACCAATGAAAATTGAGTTAGAAAATATTAGACAAATGATTTCACAACATTCAATCGCCTTCAATCCCTCTTTTTTTATTATTGTTATTTCTTTATAAATAATTTTTGTCTTCTAGTTTTGTTGAAACACAAGGACACAATGCAAATGAAATTTACATATATGTATACGAACATTTAATTGAAAAAACTACAAGTGCCACAAATTATCAGTGTCAGCACAGACCAGATGTCATGCCTTCAATTAAGAAAGGAGCAAACAGTCAGACTGGGGATATCATCACACTGTTATCATCAGTGTTTAAATAACAGCTGAGTTATTAATTAGTCAAAGGAAATAAAAAATGTGCACCAGTTTTTATAACAATTAGTCATTTTTTAAGTGAAAAATGGTAAGAAAAGTCACAGATTTCAGCTTCTCAAATGTCATTTTATGCTGTTTTTCTTAGTGCTCTGATATAGTGAATTGATTATGTTTAGGATTTGAAGACATCTCAGTAATTGTGATGTCTTTTTTTTTTTTTTTTACTATTTTCTAACATTTTATGCCAAGACCAAAGGATGAGTCCATTAATTGAATAAATGATCTACAAAATAATTGTCAGTTTACACCAGGGGTCGGCAATCTTTACTTTTAAAGGAGTCATTATTGACCAAAAACCAAAACTAAAAAATAAATCTGTCTGGACGTAACAGCCTATTAAGCCTAAATTAGTCCATCAACGCCACTTATTTAGTACTTTAATTTTGCAACGTTGGTGGTGAAAGCAGATGAATCTGTCCACATATGAATAAATCACGCTATTTATCTCTAAGACTTTTCCTTTTTTGGATTAGGAATCCATAGCTAGCCTTGGCGGAGAAACTCCAGGCAGCCACCGCTACTGAAGTTCAGCAGAATCTAGAGGAAAAGGCACCAGGTTGTAGACCAGGGGTGTCAAACATATGGCTCATGGGCCAAAACCGGCCCGCCAAAGGGTCTAACCCGGCCCTCTAGATGACTTCGCACACCTAATGTTGATGTTCTCTGAAATAACAATGAATTATTACTGTCGTCATATTTAAAGATATTGAACATGGTGCAACATATTGTCAACCAGCAGCTTCAGTACAAACAAATCTGTATCAGAATGAAACGTTAAAACATTTTTTAAATTTCTTGTAAAGGCTACACAGAGCCGAGCAGATATGTAACAGTTGCCTACTGCTGCATAATGTACAGGAGTGTATTTCCACAGCACCAGTTCATTTGGAACAAAAGACTTCCCCACCCGCTTGAAGCCGTTTAACTGTGTCTCGTTAGTTGACTGGAGCAGCGAGCCCAAGGAAACAATGATGTTATGGAAGGCAGGGGGGAGATTGATACAGACATTTGAGGAAATATGTCATCTTTATGAACAAGGTGTGTGCCTCAAAAACATCCTCTTCAGAGTCTGATGCTGTTTTATATAGACTGATGATTTAAGATAATAATGAGCAGCTGTGCAGCATCTCTGCACACATATATTATTCATCAGGCTTCACTCGAGTCAGCTGCGTTGTTTCACCGCAGCGTACAGGCCTCTTTAAAAGCCTGTGGGGAGCAGCTCGTTCGCTAATGATGCTAACATAAAGCGCAGGGCTGCAAAGGAAAGGAAAAGCCTCGGCTGTCTAATGGATTCATCTGTGGAAGATGAGAGAAGCTGAAGAGGGAGGGAGGGAAGGAGCAGATAGAAAAGGAAGAGAGGAGAGGTGGGTGTGGAGCAAGAAGAGGAGAGATGTGGAGGAAGAGATAAAGGGAGAAATGGCAATTAGAGGGATGACGGAGCAGATACAGGAGACAGGGAGGGAGTGTTTCTCTCCTCCATCACCAGTGGGAGCTCAGGCCTGCTGGGTGTGTGGTGTCCCTCCCTCCTCCTTCCTCCCTCCTCCTTCCTCCCTCCTCCCTCCCTCCTCCATCATGTTTCCACAGCAGCTCAACGTCGCCCTCTGTGGCAGAGAGACACCACAGCACCCAGCTCAGGTGGCATCTGTGGGCCGGCCTTAGGGTGACAAACAGCTTGCGCAACATTGCCGACGTCACGCGCTTCTGTCTGTGTTACACTGCACTGAGTCCACAAACACACACACAGTAAAACACACTCAGATACTCAGTGGCAGAGAAGAAGTGCAGAAAAAGGCTTCTCCTCGCCGGTGTCTCTCCTGACGCAGTGCCTTCAGGTTTAGTCTGTGTGTGTGTGTCTTCGTGTGTGTCTCTCAATGTGTGTGTGTGAACATTGGCCTGTCAGAGCAGTGTTGATCATGTGGCATGGTTGTCTGTGATAAGAGCTGTTTGTGACTCATGACCGAGCAGTTTTCTGTTTGTCTGTGTTTTTGGTTTCAAATCTAACCTTCATATTTACACAGTTAATTGTTGAAAGGACTGAACACTAATCATAATTAACATTATTTCACTCTCTGCAAAGTTCCAGCTGCTGACAATAATTGACAACTTGAAGATGACAGCTTGGATTCTGGGAAATTATGATGAGAATTTTTGGCTATTTCCTGTCATCATATGCACTGAATGATTGTTATCAGAAGATCAATCAAAAATTAAAGTATTTAGTGGGCCTGTCACGATAATTATGTTATTAACTTATCGAGGTCAGCAAAACAATCAAGGTCGTGCATATATCGTACGACATGCTCTGTTGTGTTTACGTGCATGTTTGTTTGCATAAGAATGCCACCAAAGTTTTCGCTTTTCAGTTATTATAAGACTTGGGCGCAGTTTGTCTTTTCACAGCGCTGAAGCAGAATGAACAGAAAAAGCTCTGCTGTAGGGTTGCAGTAGTGGAGCGGTTTCAGGGTGTATTGTGACATGAAAATGGACGGTTGTCATACTGTGTACATTTGCTTCTGTGGCGCCGGCAGGATTATAGTTCATAGTACGCACAGGAACCGCCAGCCCACTTGTCGGGTACTTTTAACACGTAGGTTCCTACGCATGGACATAGAAAGGTGAACGAGCAAGAGATGAACATTAATGTTACCCAGACAACACCACCATAAAACTCTGATTAGCCTGCCACTGCATCTCAAAGACAAGCCAACAGAGAAACGTACGTGCGTTTAGCAGACAACAGATTCCCTCATTTTTCAGCAGCATCACATACACAATAAGTAACACGAAGCCCAAACCAAGCTGCAACAATAAACAAAAAGGCCAGATGAGAAAATTAAGTAGTATTCCTTCCTGTTTGAAGGTCTAGCATCTTCCTGTTGCAGCCTTGATGTCTTTATTCCAAATATTTCTTTGTTAAATGTTGCTGTCATAGCAAAAAGACTAACCAGTGCTTTTCCCTTCTCTCTCTCTCTCTCCATGTGACTTCTCCATCTTCTCTCCATCCCTGCTGTCCTTGTGCTCATCCAGGTGGCCTCTCAACGTCCTCAGACAGCCGCCCGGCGGTGGTGCGCTACAGTAAGGACCAGCGGCCCACCACCCTCCCCATCCAGCCCTTCACCTTCCACCACCAGTTCGCCTCCAAACCGCAGCAGCCCAAGCCCCTGCTGCCCCTGCTCACAGGCTACGTCTCTGGGATGCAGGCCCGCTCCAGCTCTGGCTCCGGCTCTGGTTCTGGCTCTGGCTCTGGAGGTCCAGTGGGGGAGGACAGCGAAGAAGCGGCTGAAAATGTGCACAGGTACCAGGGGGCTCTGGCCACAGCAGCCCCTCCTCCTGGATCAGTCCGACCCTCGCCTCTTGGGAGCTACTCCCCGGTGCGGCTCCAGGGGGCGCCCAACTCTGGGACCTGCTCCACCTGCACGCCAAGCCCTCAGCCGCCACACAGCCTCTCCTGCCCACTTTCAGCAGGACTCGGCCCCCTGCACACCCCGCCAACAGGGAAACAGGGAGGAGGTTCAGCGCCGTTACCGGCCACCCCTCCACCTCCATCCCTGGGGGCGAAGAGAGGGACGGTGCCGCCGATGCTGCCGGCGGTGCAGGGACACTGTTTCCATCGTGGAAGTCTGCCCAGTTTACCAGCACTCCACAGTGACACACTGAGCCCACTGGGCTGTCTGGACTCTGGGAAACACGTGGAGGGAAGCAAAGGACCTGGAGCCAGGACACATAATGGTAGGTAGTAAAAGAATATGAGCATGTCCTTGACAATATTGAACAAACGATTTTTGCTTTCACTGTAAGGTTTCAACACCAAGAAATCAAACTGAAGGTGAAAGTGGACTCAGTGAAGGACCTCAGTGTCTTGTCCACTGTTACGTTCCCTGATTATGACCGGGGATGAGGGGAGTAATGATAAAATGAGACTGAGGAAAAACGGTCAAGACAAACAGAAATATGCATGCGAACAAAAAGGCTTCAGCAAGGTTAAACCAACAAGCACTTTCTTTCAAATTAAAATAAAGTAACACTAAAACTCATCCAATCAAACCAAAGATTTAAACACAAAATTAACACCACTCCTCCTCTCATAAAGGTTACAGACTGTGTAACACAACAACTGGAGTATCGTCAAACTATAACAACACACAGCACTGACGCTGCCAAACTGGCCCTCAGGCATCAGCTGTTTGTCTCTCCAGGCCTCTTAACCAGCTCGCTCATTATCAGCAAAGTGATCACCGGTGTTCCAACCACTCGCTGCACAGTGAGGAGGGGTAAAGTGGAGCAGCAGAGGAAAAAAACACAACTGCACGTCATGACAAAATTTCACACAAATGTCTAATAAGATAAAATGATGAAGTTATGACATTTTATATCCAAAAGATCAAAGGTCAGCTTCACTGTGACATCATAATGCTCTGCATAAAACACCTCTCTGACTATTATTCAGAGCCACATCTCAGGAACTGATCTTGGGTGTCCACCTTGAAACTGTGCTGTTAAACAGATCTTGTGTGCTGTTGGGGAAAGATGTGTGTGAAGCATTCATGTTTTCACAGACATGGATATAAACTATAAGAGCAACTTGACTGATGCACGGAAGCATACAATCACAGGGCCATAATTCCAGTTCATACTGCGCTAACTGCTTTTTCTCTCAACATCATGACTATGGCATCTTTCTGGTTTTTCTTCTGTATCTCTGTACTTCACATTTGCTTTCTTGCAACTAATGGTCTCTTGATTATTGAATCAGTCACTGTTTTTACATGAAAAGGAACTAAAATGTTATTTAGTCATTTGCAACAACCAGTGTTGGATTAGTAACATCTCACAGGAGAAGTATTTGTGCATCGACACTTTGAAATCGGTTGTTGTGGTGCGCATGATGGGAAGTTTGAGTCCACAGAGAGCACTGCAGCAGCAGGTTGCCTCCCTGTTTGATTATAAACTGATTCATCCTTTACGTCACTTCACTATGAAACACCTCATCTTCACAGTGTTGAGATAAGACAACAGATGGCTGCCCGAGGTTCAGTTATATGGAAGTTGTGTGTATTTAAGTGTTGATGTACTCTTAAAAATAAGCTAAGCTCTTCTACATTCTTACTGTTGTCTTTTTCTCTTTCTCTCTCCCTTCATGTATGACTTCAACCTTCTCCTTCACCTTTTCCAACTGCTTTTCTCCCATATATTTAATTTGATCCATCTACTCGTTAACCCATCCTTTAACCCGACCACCAACCCTTGATCATAACCCTAACACCTCCCCTCAGCACACCACCTCTCCCCCCAGGCTCTCAAATGGAGGGAGTACCGTCGTCGAAACCCTCTGGGGTTGGAGAGGGTCTCAGGAGGCCACTCTTCTGCAGGATCAGGCCCCCTCTCTGGTAACCTGGAGCCCAGAAGGGTCGGACCGCGACCTCCTAGACGGAACGTGTTTGATTTCCCTTCAGCCCCCTCTGGCCACGCACTGGGACGGCTCAACGGTGCTCATGATTTTACTGAGTGTTGGAGGGAATGCCTGATAAGTAGACTAGGACACGTAGTATTTTAGTAGATTTTTGAGGAGTTGACGATACAAAGAATGAACTATCTGAGGGTACAGTGAAAAAATATGGCTGCAGGGTTCCTTGGAAAACAAATAAGTTGGAGGTTCAAGAAGATGTTCCTCAAAGTCTCATCTTAAGGATTCCTAAGGGGGTGATCACACAGAAATGAGACGCTTGAGACGCGGACGCTTCAAAGACGCTATGCGCGCTAGCTACTGACGTCTGATGCTCAAAAAAGTTGAAAATATTTTAACTTTTCAGCGTCTACGTGCGTCTAAAAATGTGCGTCTAAAAAGAAGCGTCTACAAAAACACGCGTCTAAAAAGACGCTTGAACGCCAGTCAGACACGCCGTATCAGAAAACAATGGTTTTACTGGCGTCGCATTTCTAGCGTTTCGTCTCGGTGTGATCGCTCCCTTACAGCTTCTCATGCTTTTAAAAGTGTTTATATGTGTGTCTGACCATCTGTGTGTGTGTGTCTCAGCAGTGGGCCAATCAGCCAAGCTGCAGCAGATCTATAGCGACTTCCTGCCGGACTACTTCTCCCTGACTGAGAGGCCCCCGGAGGAGTTCTGCCTCTCCCCGGACGCGTCAACCTCCTCCTCCTCGTGCTCTTCCTCACAGTCCCACATCTCTGTGGACCTGACGCAGAAGAGAGGTGAGGCTCTGTGTGTGTGTGTGTGTGTGTGTGTGTGTATGTATTTACATGATCTATAGTGCCAGTGAGAAGTCTCTAAATATTTAATGACAAAACGACTAAATGTCTAATGAGCATTTTTCCTTGGAGCTCATTGCATTCATTCCCGCCTGTCTGTGGTGCCGTTTTTTGGTTTCTCTTTGACCACATGAACGTTTTTAGGAGCTTAAAAACTTCATGATGCATTTCAGTGTAGGAACGTTCCAAAGTTCTGATTGTAGTTTCTGCAACGATGACTATAGCAGAGCATTCCCATGTCCAGGATGGCTTTTACAGTACTGAACTTCATTAACAAGTCAAACACAAGCCTCTAATGATGCAACATGAGTGCATATGTATTTGTCCTATCTTAATGAAAGTTTTAAAGATGAGAAAAAAATCCTGCCTTCCATTACTCAAACAGCTCTTAAACTCATGGTTGTGTCTTATCGTACCTCAGACCTCCTGTCTTACCTTACTTTAAGAAACCCCGACTAAAAATGTGAATTTGAATTTTCAATCAACACTCATCTTGTCAGGCCTGTATCATTGTTTAGATGCACATTAAACAAGTGGAGTATTGGCTTTTAATTACTGTAGTTACAGCAGCAGGAGGCTCTGCAGCAGCAAAATTGTCTGTAAGAACACCGCAAGCATGCAAGTTAACTGTCATGGGCTGCTCACACATGCAAGTTAGGGTGGTTCTGTAAAAGCATATCCAAAGAAAAGAAAGGGTTTCTTTTGTAAATGCTGCCAGGGGCATGTTTCTTTAACACCAAAAATCCTAAATGTCGTCCTAAGTGAGGTAAGATGTGATTCCAGACTCAGGTAATAAGGCCCCTGGACTAAAGCAGGATATTAACTAAATCGTCTCATCACATCACTTTACTTGTGAGGCATTGTCTCATGGTCTCACTCAGTGGGAGAAGTTGCTTAGTTGTCATGGAGATGATAACAGATGATCGCATGGTAACAGGTGATAAAGTGAGATTGTTCCAGCTCAGCTACTATATATAGTAACTTATGATTAAACTTCTTGTCAGCGTCTGTTTCCACCTCTGAATGTCTCATTGCAGACCTTTTTCATCCAAGCGTCACACAGTCGAGCAAAAGTAAATTATAAACAGGAACCACTGACTTGATGAGCTGCTGTCCCGTCCCCTGCAGAGGTTGCGTCTCAAACAAACAAATTAATCAAAGGGAGTTGTTGGACATGATTTAGAGCCGGACGTCCTGTCTGACTTTGTCCTTGTCTCCACCTCTCTGCAACTCTTTGGAGGTCTTGATTCCACTGTAATACGCAGACACTTGTGTAGCATGTCCTGCATGTGTTACTATGTTTGTGCTCATGAATGTGACTCATGGTTTGTCCTGACACACACAGGCTCAGAGACTTTGTAGAAAACTGCTGCGCTGCTGACAGAATCTCATAAAAATCTTCCAGCGTTGTTGTCAAGCAGAACAGGGAGGGAAATGATGTCATTGATAGGTGCTTAAATCAAGTGCCTCTCACTGCAGAACGGCCACTTGACAATGAGGAGGGTAATTCAGGGCCTCTTGATGCAGCAGGTTATCGTATAATGAGCAGGCAAATCATCCTTCAGCTGGATCATCCAGGTTCCTGCACAGACCAACATTTATACTGCTCAAGTGTAATCTGTCGAGGGACAGATTTACATAGCCGTCTTCACCTTTGTTTCACATACATTGTGTCCTAGAGATGTTGTACAAGCCGAGAAGCACACTGGCTGTGTATTAGTATGATTTCTAAGTAAAGCTAAAACACAGTTTGCTTAGTAGGAGTTGGATTTTGGTCTCTGTTTATTTTTTTCATGGGGGATTTTGACATCAGGACATTTTGTCTTGTTTTCTGAGCAGACTGACGGCAGACAAATCCCTAGAAGGCAGTACCAGCTGATCGTTGCACAACTAGTTGCCTAAAGTGTATGAAACAGTGAATTCATGCAGATTACAGGCGTAAAGACACTGACGGACCCAGCAACATTTGTGATGAATTAGGATCTTAATGCCTCTCATCTCCTGCAGTGAAGGGCAACACAAGGACACCAAATAATGGATTTAGTAAGAGAAAAAAAGACACGTGTGCAGGGACATGCACGGACATTTGAAGGGGCTGTTGCTCTAACCAAAAAAAGTGTATTAAAAAAAAGGGGAATAAAAACTACTAGTCCATACCCATTGGTAGCCTTGTCACCTTCTACCTATGCCAATCCTCAATGCCTATGTGCAGTTTCACATAGATTGACCACGTCAGTGAGTAGAAAAACATGGGACAGACAGAATGACTGACTGACAGAATGACACACTGACAGTTTCCGTGATTATGTACAGCATACCATACCATGACTTAGTCATACCAAAAATTAGAAAGAAAAACAAAACATTGGTCCACAGGGGGAGCCACAGCGATCGGTCGCATTTTAGCCATTTTGAAGCATTTTTCTGTTGTTATAGAGCCACCCAGTTGCCAATTAGAGTTAAATTTCTCCAGTCACCTTGAGGCGTCCTGTTCTACATATCTACCAAGTTTAGTAAAAAGGCAAACCCCGGAGATCTTGCCTCCGGAAGAAAAGCAGAAGAGCACTGGTTTCCGGTTGTAGGCTGTTTGTAGTCTGCGTGATATTGACTAATCACGTTTGAGCCGGCTGCAGTTGTTGCCAGGTTAAACGGTCCGTGCGGTGAACTAACAGCGTCACTGCAAACTCTGAATCCATCACAGTGGTTCAGCATATTTACTTAAATATAAACAGAAGTCGGAAACGGAAATTCTCCTCCTCCACCCAACTCAAACCGGAATGCCAAAAAATTGGGGGCTGCCCCCAGAGGCTGTATCTCCGTCTGCAGGAAGTCAGACGCGGAATACAGCCAGTGGGTTCCGAGAATGAGTAAAAATCCATATGGAGGTTAGGCCTTGATAAGAAATGAGCTCTCTAGTGCCCCCATTTTGTTTGATGGGGTCAATAATGAAGGGGTCCCCTCAGATTATGTGTGGTCATATGCCTACAAAGTTGCGTGGTGATGGGTGAAACCCTTGAGATGTTATACACCTTTATGTGATGAGCCACGCCCTCCGCAATATTCATTGCCTTATAGAAGCTCAGTTTTAGTAAGTTTTCCAACTTTTGCCAAGAGGGAACTTTAGATATTGGTCCCTAGATTATGTTCACCCAGTTTCATGCAGATCGCTCAAACTTCCTAGGAAGAGATCCATTTGAAGTGTTTTTCAAAAAATTCAAAATGGCGGAAAATCTATATAAGCGGAAGTTATCATGTTCCTCATGAGGAGAGGCATCTCTGTGCAAAGTTTCATGTCTCTACGACATACGGGGCATGAGATATGCCCATTCAAAGATTGCAATTTCAATCGGTTGCTATAGCGCCCCCCTTTGGCCAATCGATGTAATATTGCTTCATTGGCATCCTCCCATGACCCTCTACCACTGTGCCAAATTTCACATGGATTGACCAAGTCAGTGAGGAGAAAAACGTGGAACAGACACACAGACAGAGTTTTCATCATTATATAGTAAAGATTCAGTTAAACAATACATTTCCTACTTTCTTAGATATTTTTGTCAAACATGCAGTGATGATTGTTGGGTAATATGATATATTAATGTTGTCTAATGTCAAGTGTCTATCTGATCACGTGATGAGATGGTACATGTACGATAGTGTGACCTAGGGTCCATCATAACTTCCTTACGCCACTGGTCCCTGCACTTGTAACATGTAACCATGTAAAGATGCTGTTACTTGCAGCTGAAAAGGATCATTTAAAAAATGTCCCTTTATTCTTTCCTCTCTGTCAGGTTTGGTGAAAGCTGTGAACACAGCAGTGGATCTGATTGTGGCACATTTCGGCACCAGTCGAGACCCAGATGTAAAGGTATGACTGATGACTACTTATGACTGACACCATTCTTCTCAGGATAAAAGGAAGGAGAGTTGATTCTTCTGAGTGATCAAAGCTCACACAGCAACGTTTAGTTCACAGTGTTGTGAAGCACAGAACATAAAACCAATCAGTTGGTAAATTACATGAGTTTCACACTCAGATGGTGCCATCTGTTTTCTCACATTATCATTTGTCTCACAATAGCAACAATTAAGCTAGCTTATGAAACCTTAAATCAGTCGTCATTCTCAGAAGTATTTTTGACTTTCCCAGGTGTGTAGTGCTGTCAGGCTGAGTCACATCATGTTTAGGGCTCGTAAAGTTTTTTAAGGTACTTGTCTTCACAGTTATTTTATTAGTTACACAGCACATAAGCAGTGGAACCACCACCACAAATATTGTCACAAAATTAATTGGTCCCTTGTGACTCTTTCCTTTGTCGGTGACTTCAGTCTGGAAACTGAATTCCTGGCACAGAATGCGTTTGTTCCTACAGAGCTGATGAGACAGTCAATAAATTAGGCTGCAGATCAGACTGATGCAGAGAACAAAGGGGCAGGAACACACAATCTATCATCAGTCATTAATTGATAACAAAATATATTTACTTTTTTTATTTTAAGTACAAATAATGAGCTTATCTACAGAGACCAATTTAGCACAAAAGGACCAGAAGTTTTGCATCACTCTGCACATTTGATCCTTCATCTTTCCTCCCAATCCCCTGATTTGTTTCACTCTCATTTCCTTTATCCCCTGATGTTTCTCTGCAACCCTGCCAGGCCAAGCTGGGGAACAGCTGGGTGAGTCCCAACGTGGGTCACCTTATCCTGAAGTACCTGTGCCCGGCCCTGCATGAGGTGCTGCAGGACGGCCTGAAGGCCTACGTGCTGGACCTGATCATTGGACAGCGGCGCTGTCAGCCCTGGAGCCTGGTGGAGGCTTCTACACAACTGGGTGAGAACATCACACTGAGCTGCAGATAAAATGACTGCAGTTTCATCGCATCAGAAAGAAGGTCATCAGGAAGTTGGAGTTTCATGTTTTGTTTTGTTTCTGTGACTAAGAAATCTTGCTGATTAATGACCTTTCTGGTCGACTAACATTTGGTCGACTGTTAGGGGACAGCTATAGTTATTTGTAATGATATTTTCCATCATTGCTTAACATTTAAAAGAGTTTCCTCAACACAAGTCCTGTCAGAAGAAATGACAAAAATAGGAGATGTATAATATTGGTGGAAAAGTGTTCAAATTAAATTTTTGCAGGTTGATTTTCAGTGAAATTACTCTGCAGGTACAGTGAAAGCAGCCACATGAGGTGATAGGTTAGAGATGAATTAGGCGTTTAACATTATGTCTTGTCTCTGTCAGGTCCGTCCACACGTGTTCTCCACAGCCTCTTCTCAAAGGTGAGCCAGTACTCTGAGCTCACGAGCCACAGCATGAGACTCAACGCCTTCATCTTCGGCCTGCTCAAGTGAGTCATCTTTCTTTATCACCTCACACTGATGGTTGTCGTCCTTGGGGTCAGGGTTTTTGTATTGTTGTAGTCACTGTTTTTATGTGAAAATAATGTGACAGCGTGAAAGGAGTTACTTGTAGTGATGAATCTAAAGAGAAATCTGCAGCTCCTCTCGGCTTTACAGAGCTTTGCAGTGAGTTTTAGCTCATTGTTTAGCTGTCCTTCACAACTTAACTGTTGTGGTTAACTCTCACAGCTCTCATTGTAGCGCTGTGTTCAGCCACAGCAGGCAGCTGTTGTTAGCTGTTTTAGAGCTCTTTCTCCAAAAACCCTCAGCGGTCAGACACAGTTAGAGACAAGCTGGTGAATATCGTGGACCATTTAGCAGCTTAAGAGTCATATTTCCCTCAGGAGATGATAGACACCAAAACCAGAGCTAAAAGAGAGTGATTATTGGACGTAGATGATGTGCACAGAAACACGACTTCAGATGAGTAATAAAGGTGGAGCGACTGGACGTGTAAATGAGCAACTCTTTGCTAGTAAGTTTGGAGTATCAACTTAGGAGGTGACGATATGTCAGTGTTGTGTTCAAAGCTTGTTTCCACTGCCCCCAAGTGGCCAAAAAAATATAACTGGGATATATAAAAGTAAAATCAGAAATTATTTTAGGAAAATTTAAGGTGCACTCCTGCTGCTGCAATTTTAAAATTTGGGTCTCTTTCTGTTTCAGCCTAAAATCTTTGGAGTTCTGGTTCAATCACCTCTACACTCATGAAGGTAAGACTCAGTTTAGCTCTTCAGATGTTGTTCAGATGTTCACATGTGCGTTAAAAGTCCTGTTTCTTCTGAATCTTGCCCTAATGTCTTGTCTTCCTGTTTCGTTTTACTTCCTCAGATATCATAGCAGCACACTACAACCCGTGGGGTTTCCTTCCCCTGTCGCAGGGGGCATGTCAGCCGCTCTTTGAGGAGCTCCTCCTCCTGCTGCAGCCCCTGTCGCTCCTCCCGTTCGACCTTGACCTGCTGTTTGAGCCACACCTCCTCCAAAAGGGCCAGGAGCACCTCCGTCGCAAGGAGCAGCTGTGCTCTGCGGGCCAGAGTGTCGACCAGTCGACTCGCTCCACCTTCCAGCTCATGAGGGGATGGAGCACCACTGTGAGCGAGATGGTCTCGAGAGACTCAGGCACAGAGGTGAAGAAAGAGAGGGCGGCGCTGAGACGAGAGGGAACGTGGCCGAGGATGGAAGGGGTCGGGGCGAGGAGAGATGGAGCAGGAGTGAAGCCGAGGCTCAGGAGTGAGGGGGCGACAGCTGAGAGCATGACCGCCGGACCTGGTAGCAGAGCGGCGACGATGGAAGTAGGGTTTGCCAATCTCTGGAAGGAGAGAGGGATGAGTGGACAGAGGATGAAAGGTGTGGGACAAGAGAGCCAAGGAGAAGGTGAGGACAGACAGGAGAAGGACAGGAGGAAGGACAAAGAGAAGGATGTGATGGATGAGGGGCGTCAGCGGCAAGACAGACAGGCGGGCTGGTGGTACCAGCTCATGCAGTCCTCCCAGGTTTACATCGACCAATCCGCAGAGGGGTCAAAGTTCGTTAAGACCGACAAGAGGAAGAAGTCGTCAGAGAGACGACAGAACCAGCTGCCGCCCACCAGAGAGGGAGTGGTGGAGGGGGCCGAGTCGAGCCAACAAGGGGAGGGGTTTAGGAGCAGGAAGAGCAGCAGCAGCTCCAGCGGGGAGTCAGCTGGGTCCAGGGGACGGCCTTCATGGATGGGCAGCCCGCCTGAGTCTGTTCTCAACCAGGACAAAGACACAAAGCCTCAGGAGGTGACAGGGACTGGAGCTCAAGCTGCAGCCCAAGAGGAGAGCCCCCAGCAGGGACAGAGTCTGCGGTGGGGCAGGCTCTTTGGATCCAGTGTTGGTTCTCCTTCAAGGGTGGAGGCAGCCGAACAGAAGGCAAAAGCTCAGAAGATCAGGTAGGTTACAAGAAGGATAAGTCTAATGATATTCAGTATTTTTTAATACTATCTAAAGACCAGAATCAACTCCAATGTATGGAGTGGTGCCGGAATAAGTCCTAAAATTCAGGAATACACTTCCAGTTCCCTCGTCTCAAAGCCAGTGATTATTTTGAATGGGTTTGATGCCTAGAATAAAATCTGTGGTTGACACAAGCTTAAGATAGTTGCACATTTTGTCCTACAACATTACGTCACCAAATACCCCCCTCATTATTTTAAAAGCTTTTACAGCTTTTAGATAGGATAAGAAAAGAAAAGATAAAGGCTCTGTCGACACCATAATGTTGTGTGAGGACAGAAGTGGCTTAAGCAAAGTGTCTATATCAGCTGAGCCTAAACTTAAAGACACTGAGCGACTGCATAGAAAGGCTACCTAGTCCCACTTCTTCTTCTTCTTCCTTAATGCATCGTTTATTTTTAACCACTGTTAGTCTCGCCACCAGACAATCAGAGATCTCCGCCTTCTGATGGTCTGGGGACACTCCTTTCTAAAGTGTGTTTAACACACAGGAGAAAACGGCCGGCAACAAAGCAACGCCTCTTGCATTTTTTAAAAGGACACGCCCTCCCGGAAATGTGCGTTCCTCCTTTTCTCGTCCGCAAGGAAACAAACAGACAGTGAGCTTGAAAATGGATGCCGAGAGATTTAACTCCGTTTTATCAAATGTGTGCTCAGTCCACAAGATTGTGGAAATGAAGGACTTACAGCGACTTTGTTTAAAACTTTTAACGCAGTTGGACTATGTTTACGAGCACAAGAGTTCAGCGAGCCGCCGAAGGACCGCCCTGCGGATTTACTATTGGTTCTGCAACGTAGGGAGTTTTTTTAAACTCTGAAATTGTATCCGCCCATTTAAACACAAAATCAGGGAGAAAGACATCAGTCTTTAGTTAAACAAAGCATCTAAACCACTGTAGTCTTCAATGAAGAGCATGCACACATTCATGAATCTGTGTCCATAAACCATCCAGAGGTACAAATTTTCACCTTTACATTGAGCAGCGCACACCTGATTTGATGTGGCCCGGTGTTGCGGTCAAAAAACTAGGGGTCCGTCCCAAGTCTCTTAAATTACTGCTAGTTATCTTACTAGCCGACTTTGCTAGCTGTTTAGCCCCTCCCACCTAGGAAAAAATGTGAGGAGCTAGCGCTAGGAGCGATGAGCGAGCATTGTCGGTTTAAGAGACATGAGACGTCCTTTCCACTGAAGCGTCATGTGAAGCGACGTCCATTCCTGATGACGATGGCACCGCTGGATGTGCTCCATAAAGCAGCCAGCGTCTGGCGTTACTATGGGTACATCGCAAGTGTCATTATATTTGCTGACCAAAACAGTAGCGCCCCCCCCCCCACCGTCATGACTCTGGTCACACACTGCTGCATGTATTACCATTGTTATTGAGTCATTTGTCGAAGTTTGTGCAATTACATAACGGTCTGTAGCCCTGCTATTCCACTGTCACTATGATGAGCACTATCATTCAATTAACTCACCATCATTCAACATAGTCAGCGATTCATTGCAAAGAATGCACGTAACGGGTACTTACTTTTGTAAGTATCCTAGCTCCTAGCTCGTAGCTGCTTAAAGCTTGCTGCTAGCTCCTAGCGCTAGCTCCTCGCTGCACAAATAAGAGACTTGGGACGGCCTAGAAGATGGCGGACCTCGAACGACTTCCGGTTCAAGTGAGGAGCTAGCAGTAGCACTATAAAAATAAGAGACTTGGGACGGACCCATTGTGTGCTCCTCCATCTAGCAGCAAAGGTCCCTTAATGAATGCTTCCTACCTTTATTGACAGACACCAATGACAGAACAGTGACCCCTACAGGACAAATTAGGAACCTACACACATTTTACATCAGGGATTGCTCCTATAGTGTCCCGAAGACAAAGAACACGATGGAACCGTTCCACAGCATTGAGGAGCAAGTAGTAAAATAGCTAACTGAATGCATAACTAAGCCAAAGACAAACAATAAACAAGAATAAATAACAAATAACAGCAAGAAAAGACAAAGCAACTGTTGCTGACTGTTGCCCATACGGCATTGGAACTGGAAAAAAGGCGGTTGCTTACAGATGGCTAGATGAGACTACAGGACGTCACAGATTTACAGCCACGTTAGCTTTTTACCTCAAAACTATGAATAACATCTGTCTTTTAACATCTTTTAAAGTTTAAACCATGTCAACCTTTTTACCAAAATTGACTTCAGCTGTCAGAACAATAAAGCTGACGATGTGCCTCACTGTGTGTTCTCTCTCAGGCCTCCATCAGGTTGGCTCTCTCTGGATAGATCTGTTCTTGACCTTGTAGCTCAGACTATTGGAGCAGGGAGTGGGAAGAAGGCAGAGCCTCCAGCTACGCCCAATCACACCCAAACCCCAGCTCCACCAACGTCAACCCAACCGACCGGAGCCAGACAACAGTCTCTATGGTAAGCAAATACTACACATTGTGTCCTTTAATGTCAGATGATCTAGTAACATTACACTCAACATTAATTGATCAAATTTATTCTTCAGGCAATTTTGGGAACAAAACTACTTTTCAAGACCAAGGCGTGTTGATTTTAGTATGACAGGGATTGCGTAAAATTTGTCTAATGCTACTTTTTTGATCTCAAATTGATTACTTTTTGATCAGTTGATGAATCTTTTGGTCTTCAAAATGTCGAAAAATATCCTTCCTAATTTCATAAAGCCCAAGATGACGTCTCCAGATTGGTTATGTTGTCTAACCAACACTCCAAAACCAAAAGATATTAAGATTACTATCATATAGGCCAAAGAAAAGCAGCAACTCCTCAGAATTGAAAAGCTGCAACAAGGAAATGTTTGATATTTTTGCCTCAAAAACCACTAAAATGATTGTCCATTTACTAATCAATTAATTCCCTGATCCAGCTCTCACCTTTTCTCCATGTCCTCTTTCCTTCTTCAGTGAAGTGCGAGCATTGTGCCACCACATAGCCACCGAGCCGGGCCAGCTGAGCTTCAACAAGGGTGATATCCTGCATGTCCTGTGCAAGGCTGATCCAGACTGGCTGCTGTGCTCCCTGGGCTCCACCCGGGGCCTGGTTCCCATCATCTATGTCACCCTCAACAGCATGGAGGACAGCCACGATGCCTCTGGACTCGGACAATGCTGAGCCAAAGCTGTCCCAGGAGGAATTCATGCAAGATGAAGGCAAACCGCTTCGGAGCCAGAGGGTATCCCTGCCACACTCCTACTGAAAACAAAACCTGTACATTGGGGATGACTCCACAAAAAAATAAAACACTGTAGAAAATATGAAGATCATGAAGATGATGTACAGACACATGCAACGGGAGCATGCAGGCTCGAACACAAACTCACTCCAAGGGAACATCCAGACAAGTATGCATGCATACATCCGAAAACCAAAAGACCAGACAAGAAACCCAAAGACACTCCGACACACGCTTCTCACTCTGCGTGAAGCTGCGCTACTAGCTTAACTATGTGACTGTCCAGTCTCTATATCATCCATCCCGACTCGCAACAAAACAAAGAGGGGCTTACTCACTCACAGATGGTAAACTTCACACTATGATATACGCCATGCCTCGCTGCACTTTGCTGTACTGTATACGTTCACCTCGCTGTGCCACACTCCGAACACAGTGCTCACTTATCGCCCTCAGTGGAGCGCCGAGGTCTGTTTGATGTCCTGTCGCTTACTTGGTGCCGATCCGTGTAGAAACCAGTTGCTTTTTTTGGTAAGATTTAAGGTGGTCGATGTAAATGCAAGAAAAAAAAAGTTTTGATCCACATCTTGCAGAGATTCAGCGCATTATATTTAGGAAAGTAAGAAGCCACACAGGAGTTTGTGTAGACGGCTGTTTGACCTGAGAGAGAAGAAGGCAAAAGCACAAGTTTAATTCTGTTTCCATTCTCCATCTGTTTTATTTCTGCTCATCAAAGCCTGTTTGTAAGGAGATGAAGCAACTGACAAGCTAATTGCCTTTTTTTTATCTCCACCTTTCCCTCACAACACCCACCACAGCTGGGATGAATCAACGGCGTTTAAGTGCATGTAACCTTCCAAAACTCTTTCCCCCTACAGTCCTTTTTCACCTGCAGCATCCCGCACCTCTGTTCCCCCTTCAGTCTCTCATCAAAGGACACTTTGAAGAGGAATAATCCAAGCGAGTGGCTGCAGTCTGAGCTGTACATGTGCATTTGATTTAACGGTACATAGTGTAAATGCATATATGACTTACACACGTGGTGAGTTCTATTTATTTATCGACCACTTCAGTTAGCGGAGGGAAGCATCTGCTGTACATGGACGGGTGCAGGAAACAAGGATGGGAAGGATGTCCAATGAAAGCAAAGCATAGCTGTGGAGACGTGTGGAGGCCTTTTTGAATGTGTCAGGGATCCAGCCTGGATTGCTAACATGCATTTAGAGAGGGTTAAATAATCTCATCTATGCCTTAAAGTGCTTGAGGAAAAAAAAGGGAGAGTCGCCCTGTTGTGCACGTCAAAGGCTGCGGTCCTGACATTATATTTTGTATATGCTACGACGTGTCTTAACGTGACATTGTCCCCAGATTTATGTCTACGGAGATTCTTGACTTCAAAGAAAAGTGTAGAGATGATATAGAGGTGATATTTTTGGGATGTATAAAGGGAAAAAACCCAACACATTTTGTGACGGTGGCTCCGTGGGCATTCCTACACGCCCCCTGTAGGTGTAAAAATGTGGCCTTTTGTTTAAAATGAGTTGACGAAGAACTAAAATTATACAGAATACCTGGATAGAGTGTATACAGACGCCCACTTCTAATATTTCACATTATAAAATGGTAAAAAATCAGTGTATATTTATTAAATAAATGAATGCTTGTGTAGTTTTTGAAAAACTTACATAGGATATAATTTAACTTGTTCTTTTTGTTGCATTATTGTACAGTTTTTTTATGTATTGTTATATGCATTTAAGTTCAGCAAAAACATTTTAATTGACCTGTAAATATATTTAAATCCCTTCAATTATTAATTTCTTCCATGGAGCTACATGTATGAATGTTATTACTGAGTTAATGATGCATTTTATGTTAAATACATGAAGCAAGTATAAGCTTTAGTTTCAGTGCTGACAACCATAATGAAAGTTGGCAGAGGAAAGTTTGGCGAATGGTTTAATTTCGGGTCCTCCAGGCGGTTTGCTGTTCATTGACATCCTGTTCAGAGTTCACATGGGACAGACAGAGACAAACACATAGTAGTGATAAAGCCAGAGAGACGCGGAGGCTCAGGGGCAAGAGGCAAAGACAGATTCACTTTTGATTTGGCGTTTGATTAGCTGAGACGTTGTGTTTCAAAATGCTACACAGATAGAGAGAGAGAGAAAGGAAGGAACCTCGTGCCGTCTTTCTTTCTCTCTTGTGGGTTTTTATCTGCTTTCTCTCTCCCTGGCTGCCTCCTCCTGCCTGTAAATACCTTCAGCATCAGTGACACTGCTCTTCTCTCTGTGTCCAGGCTATATGACGTGTACGTATGACATTATCAAACTACTATGGATGTTAAATAACAAAGTGCTCATGTGATCACAGATTCAAACGGCTCCTGTCTTTTGTCCTTTACATGGTTTTGATGTTGAAGTGGTTCTCAAACACTCAGCCTGTGTAGAAATGAAAGGTGGCTGTCAAAGGTTTGTAGAAAAATGTTTAAAATGAGGTTTAAGGATTACAGATGCAGCCACCTAGAGTTTCCTCTCCCGAATGAAGGTCTTTCGGCTGCCAGTCGGCTGCGAGTCAACTCCCAGCCAGCGGGAGTCTCGCCCCTTAGAATAGAATATCTTCTCAGTGCAAATATGAGTAAAAAGAGCTTATAAAACAATGACAAACTATATAGTTTAAAACTGTAAGCAATATTACACTTGCTTACAGTCTCCACACAGTCCTCGCTGATGCTTAACGGCTGAATGTCTGCTTTATTCCTTCTGTCGACAATCAGCTCCTTGGTCTTGATTGTCTAGATTTCACTGTAAATACAAACATTAATTCAGTTGCAGGGTGTCACCATGAGATGGCGCCACCTCCTCTGTTTAATGATGGAAGGAGAGGAGGCAGCCAGGGAGAAGAAGTGGCCTACGACACCACTTACCACCCACCCACGATGCAGTCTTGGGATCCCTCCCCAGACAACTCAACACCCATTCTCACCTGGACCCATCTGACCATAACGACACACGATGGCTCACATGTAACGACTCTGTAGGGTTCACACCCACACAGAGTACAAAGTCTGCGCACCAGTCCATCAGAACTGAAGAAGCCTCTTGGATGAGAAGTGTAACGTCTTCAAGAAACTCAAGCAAGTCCAGTTGCCCATGATATAGCATTTATACTTAATTCAGTTATAGGATGTCACCATGAGATGGCGCCTTCTTCACAAAAAGTGCTCCGTACCCAAACATCTTAAGGATTTAAAATTAATTTCCAACGTTTTACCGGCTAAACACAAACCTTAATTGGTCACATTTGCTCTTTTTAAGGTCACTCCTCATCAGCTGACCTGACAGAACTACCTCCAACTTGTTTGTTGAAGTTTTCAGATGTAATGTCCAGTGGTGGAAGATATACTCAGATCTTTTACTTCGGTAAAACTGGCAATACAACTGTGTGGAAATACTCATTCACTCACTGGCCATTTTATTAGGTACACCTGTTCAACTACTTGTTAACGCAAATAGCTAATCAGCCAATCATGTGGCAGCAACTCAGTGCATTTAGTCATGTAGAAATGGTGAAGACGACCTGCTGAAGTTCAAACTGAGCATCAGAATGAGGAAGAAAGGTGATTTAAGTGACTTTGAACGTGGCATGGTTGTTGGTGCCAGACGGGCTGGTCTGAGTATTTACTGGGATTTTCAGCACAACCATCTCTAGGGTTTACAGAGGATGGTCCCAAAAAGAGCAAATATCCAGTGAGCCAAAATACCTTGTTGATGCCAGAGGTCAGAGGAGAATGGCCAGACTGGTTCAAGATGATAGAAAGGCAACAGGAAGTCAAATAAGCACTGGTTCCAACCAAGGTATGCAGAAGACCATCTCTGAAGCAACAACACCTTGTCCAACCTTGAAGCAGATGGGCTACAGCAGCAGAAGACCACACCAGGTGCCACTCCTGTCAGCTAACAACAGGAAACAGAGGCTACAATTCACACGGGTTTTCTCACCAAAACTGGACAATAGAAGATTGGAAAAACGTTGCCTGGTCTGATGAGTCTGGGTTTCTGCTGCCACATTCACCAGGTGGCCTGATGTCTAAAAGATAAAAGAGATCAGCAGTGAGTTTGCTAAATTCTTGCATTGCACCAGCTTACAACAGTGCAGGCACAAAATGTTAACAGTATGTTTTCTTTATGCCTTAGATTTTTCTTTTGAGTCCAGCCTACCTATTAAACTAAAGTCAGTCTGTAAGGTCATCTTTGTATTCAGAGCTTTACAGAATCATGTTGACTCTACATTTGACTGGACATTGTGGGTCTTAATCATCGTTGGAAATGCATGTGGTACAGTGTGTCTGAGGCAATGTTTATATCCACAGAACATTATTTTAGTACTAATAGAGATTTAAAACTTCCCAAACATCCCAAATGATATAAAAGATGCAAAAACATGCAGAATAAGTGACACTGGTGTTATATCCATCCATATCCTCCAGCGTGTTCTGGGTCTGCCCCAGGTAGGACGTGCCTGGAACACCTCCAGCGGGAAGCGCCCAGGAGGCATCCTGATTAGTTGCCCAAGCCACCTCAGCTGACCCTTTTCGACGCAAAGGAGCAGCAGCTCTACTCCGAGCTCCCTCTGGATGTCCGAGCTCCTCACCCCATCTCTAAGGCTGAGCCCAGCCACCCCACGGAGGAAACTCATTTCCACTGCTTGTATCCGCGATCTCATTCTTTCGGTCACTACCCAGAGCTCATGACCTGAATGTGCTCCTGTGTCTGACCAGCACATTATGGAGTAGGTGGGAGACATTGTCCAAGAAGACGCGTATCTGAGACAGCATCCTGCTCTCTGACGCTGCCACCACTGAGTCCAGCTCCATTCCTACGTCGTTACTGGCCTTGCGAATCAGTTTATTGTCTGCTACCCTTAACTTGCTGCCCGAGCACACAACAACAAACAGGATAGCACAAACATCCTCAGCATTGTCCGGCAGATGTTAAAGGACCTCAGCCTCCTCAGGAAATATAGGCAGCTCTGGCCCTTCTTATAGAGAGCTTTCATGTTCTTGGACCAGTCCAGTTTACCGCCTATATGCACTCCCAGGTACCTGTAGTCCTCCTCCCTCATGGCAATGGCACTGGTCGATGGCAGTGGCCCCCCAGCAGGACAATGCATCATGCCACACCACAAAAAATGCTCAGGAATGACACGAGGAACGGGACAAAGAGCTCAAGGTGTCAACCTGACCTCCAAATACCCCAGATGCCAATCTGATCAAACATCTGGGAATGTGCCGTTACCCCAGAAGGTACCCTCGAGCCACGGTTGGTACTCCTTGGACCGGACTTGGCTCTGACATGTTAAGGCATTGACACAGGACCTCTGGTGGGTGTCCCTTGGTGTCTGGCACCAGTGTGTTGGCCTCAGATCTTCTGAGTCCTGTGGGTTGCGAGGTGGCGTACCAGCACATCTTACAGATGTTTGATCACATCAGGATCTGGGGAATTTGGAGGCCAGGTTGATGTCTTGAGCTCTTTGTCTCGGCCCTTGGACATTCCTGAGCAGTTTTTGTGGTGTGGCCTGGCGCATTGTCCTGCTGGGGGGCCACAGCTACTGGGGAGTGCCGTTGCCATGAAGGGGAGTACCTGGTCTGCAGTGGTGTTTGAGTGGGAGGAGCATGTCAGGTGGTATCCACAGGAATGTCAGAACCCAAGATTTCCCAACAGAACAATGCACTGTAACAAGATGATCAGTGTTTTGGCTGATCGGCGTATGATTGTAATATTCATTTGTCCACAAACTTTTGGCCACATAGTGTATTTGAAAATGTTTAGATATGACCACATTTGTTAACTTTGCAAAAACATGCATCATATTGCTGATAATCTTTCTAAGAATCCATCTTGCAGAAACATCCACACCTACTTTATCTAACTCAGTATTCTGCAGACTGTGTCTGCGTCACCAGTCATCTTTCATCTTTCATGCAGCCAAAACAAGGAACAAGGAACTATATTAGATTCCATGTAACTGTGAAGACATATTTTCCGTGGAAATCCATAAGGTGGGTTGCATAATTCAGAGGGGTCTGCCCCAACTGCAAGGGATTAGGCAACATGGGGAAGTTACTGTATGTTGATATTAAGAATAACACCGCGTTTTGACATCACAGAGACAAACAGACAGTCCTTTATTCACATGAACCCCCTCACCTTTGCTCTACTTCTTTCCTGGGACTTTCTATTTGACAGTTTCCTCTAATTTCCTACTTCGTACACTTGAAATTTGAATAAACAAAGATTCTAGACATTCATTTTGGCACTGACACTGCAGCCGACTGGCTCTGCCAAACACTTAAAATGTGAGATGTAATCCTTGATGCGGTAAGTTTATAGGAGGATTAAAAGATGAATGGGTGGCACTTTCAAACTCAGATCAAAGATTTCCTGGATGAATACGGCTCTTGTGTCGGTGGGGACCTCGAGGTCAGGGAAATCAATCTGCTCATCATACAAAAATCACAGGTTTGAATCCTGGGACAAATCTAGAATGACTCTTCCTTCAGATATCAAGTGGACGGTACATAACAGCCTGTAAATGTGCATTCTCCAGTTTAATCTCACAAACCAAGTTTTATTTTTCTTTTCTGTACTTTGTGTATGCAAATACATCTCAACAGAGATGCCCATGTCACGTCTTATGAACCTCAAGTTTGTAAAGGTTTTAAGTTACGATGAATAGAGAGTTGTGCAAGCTCACAAGTGATGCCAACTCAGCAACATAAGCTCAGACAAACTGGATCTGCCGGATCTTCTGTAAGGACTTTTTTGTTCTCTGAGGGGAGCCAAGGTCAAAATCCATGAGTTTAGTTTGAGGGATTTTCCTAAAAAAACACAATGCACATGTGCATCTAAAAAATTATAATATCATGAAAACTTCAAAATTTCTTGTCAGTTATTTCAGAAGGTGAAAATTGTATGTATTCTGGACTCACACAGTCCTGAGAAGAGCTCGAATCAGCTAATTAACTCAAAGCACCTGCAAAGGTTTGCTGAGCCTTTAATCTCTCAGACTCAGTTGTTCAGGAGACACTCACTGACACCCTTTACAAGGAGGGTAACCCACAGAAGGTCATTACTGAGACGGCCAGCTGTTTACAGTGGTCTTGTGGTCCAAAGTCCTCTTTTCAGATTAAAGTAAATTTTGCATTTCATTGTTGCCTCACAGCAATCGGGCTCCTGGTTCAAGCCCAGGGTGGGGGGTTCAAACTCTGGGGTGGGGAAGCCCTTCTGTGTAGAGTTTGCATGTTCTGACCCAAGGCCTGAAACACTGAATACGTCTACTTGCCAAAAAATAGCCCCTTGTTCTGAAAAAGAC